AATGTTTTTTTGGTCTGGAAGACAGTTTTAACAGGTTTTTAATAACAACCTAGTTCCTCGATGTCGAGTCGAATCGGCCATAGCAATATCGGAGACTTCAGATGAATCTCAACCGACGATCGCCATTCCAGCAATTCAGACACGAACAGCATCACACACTAAATCAAAATTAGTCGCTGCACTTCCCTTTGAAAGATTGTCAACTCAGTAAGGTAAGAAAAAGGAGTGAAAACAGAAGCCAGCACTTCGTCTTCGAGACATAATGAACATTTCTTCGCGCCTCACTTCATGTAATTTCTCTGTTGTCTCTCGCTCATCACAACCAATCAAAGAGCGCAAAATGTGTGTGATGCTGTTGGCCTCTGTTTGAATTTCGGTTGCGCGGACTGTATTCCGTATGATCAGTGACAAATGTTGCTATGGCAAATGGGAATAATTTTTTTTCCGTGTAGCCCTTCATCAGTGGAAAAAGTCTAGATTTTGGTTTTAAATATGAAGCCAACCCGGCGTTTATCCGAGACCCGGCGTTTATTTGAGAAAATTACGGTAAACAAAGCAAACCCTTGGAGTGTCACAGGTGGTCAAAGGAGAAATGTCACGAAACATCGAAAAGCACACTGTCATGCGATAGGGTGAACGTTGTAAGTTAAATTTTGACGGTTCAACTTCATTCTCTGTATTAAATTCTGTGTCGTTTTATACTAAATAATTATACCCTTTTCTTACCCTCGACCCCTTTGAGTTTAAATTTCTTGATCTAAGCTCCAATAGGAGGGTGCAAACTACTCTGTTTCTTGTTTTTAGAGCCAAAGCGTCTCAATTTTTTNCAAAATTAGTCGCTGCACTTCCTTTTGAAAGATTGTCAACTCAGTAAAATAAGAAAAAGGGGTGAAAACAGAAGCCAGCACTTCGTCTTCGAGACATAATGAACATTTCTCCGCGCCTCACTTCATGTAATTTCTCTGTTGTCTCTCGCTCATCACAACCAATCAAAGAGCGCAAAATGTGTGTGACGCTGTTGGCCTCTGTTTGAATTTCGGTTGCGCGAACTGTATTCCGTATGATCAGTGACAAATGTTGCTATGGCAAATGGAAATAATTTTTTTTCCGTGCAGCCCTTCATCAGTGGAAAAAGTCTAGATTTTGGTTTTAAATACGAAGCCAACCCGGCGTTTATCCGAGACCCGGCGTTTATTTGAGAAATTACGGTAAACAAAGCAAACCCCTGGAGTGTCACAGGTGGTCAAAGGAGAAATGTCACGAAACATCGAAAAGCACACTGTCACGCGATAGGGTGAACGTTGTAAGTTAAATTTTGGCGGTTCAACTTCATTCTCTGTATTAAATTCTGTGTCGTTTTATACTAAATAATTATACCCTTTTCTTACC